TCCTGCCATGGCCATTCTAACAGCTGTTTGAAGTCTCTGTTAAACTAAGGACAGTGGCTTGTCTTCAGACTAGACATCTCCATCTCCCTGCAGGCACCTCACAGGCACTGGCTTCCTGCGTTGCCCACAGTTCCTGGCCGGCTGAGATGTGTCCAAGTGACCAGTTTTAAAACTAAATTCTGATTGAACATAACTGGTGGAAACAGCAATGCCAACAAAGAGAAAGCCCAACAAGGATTTAAACTTGTATCTACAGGAGGATCAAGTCACCTTGACAAAATTTTAATTGGGAAAATGTGACTTGAGGAATTTTATGCAGGAAAATAACAGGCGGCATTAGACCATGGTGGGCTTTTGGTGTTGGGGCTGCTCAGTGTCCATTCATGCTGCTCCCAGAATTCACCTCAGCTCCACCTCTGCACCCCTTCAGGCCATGGAACTCAGAGGGAGCTCCTCTTGCCAGCCATGGAGTTAGCACACAGGTCTGCCTGCTTCCTTCCCGTAGGACTCGATGTTGGAAGCAAGTGAGCTGGAGCTTCGGCAGCCATTTTGGCACTTATGCAAGCAGAGAACAAAGCAGATGTTTTTTTTTTAAAAAGAACATGACACATGGATTGTACAAATTTATGGGCTACAATCTGACATGTTGATACATGTATAAACTGTGTAACAATCAAATCAGGGTAATTAGTACGTCCATCATCGGAAACATTTATCATTTGTGACAAGATGGGTAAACCTATAGGACATTATATGATGTGAAAGAAGCCAGGCACAGAAATGCAAATACCATGTGATCTCAAAGCTATAAAGCTGACCTCATAGACACTGAGGATAGAACTGGGGTCACAGGGGTGGGGACAGCAAGAAGTTGGTCAGTAGTGACGAAGCTAGCAGGAGGAATGAGTGCTGGTGGTCCTGTCACAGAGAAGGTGTGCCTGGAGAAGGGTCCAGGGGAGTTCCTGGAGAGAAGGGGAGCTTGACTCGGGACCCGTGGGTCCTTGGCTTATGGGATGGAAAAGAATTTCAACACATGTTCGTCAGAGGAATGGACAGAGGTTTACTTAGGAAAGTGGATACACAGTCAAGGGAGAATGTGGGCCGTGTCAAGGGAGATGCCTATGGGGAAAACCAAGGATCCGTGTTTAAGGGAGAACGCAATGCAGACCTTCTCCAGAGGGTGAGGCAGTGACCTCCTGGCCTGGGGTGCTATATTTAAAGTGTGGCAGTAGTTAGGAGCTGAAACAGAGGTGGAGCCAGGGTGGAGTTACAAAATTCCATGCAGGTTGTTTACAGCATTTGAAAATTGCCCTCATAGTACTTTTTGCCAGGCAAGGGCACGGGCCAAGGGCCTGGGTCAAAGATGTGGGTCAAGGGTGTGGGCTAAGGCCACGGACTGGGTGACTCAAGCTTGATTTGCATTTCCAAGGTTTCAGCTGATGGGTGCTTCTCTTTGGAAACCCAGTCTCTCTCTTTCTGTATCCCCAAACTCCCATCTCAATCTACTAGACAGGAGGGCAACTCCCGTTAACAGTGCTCTACTATATATTTCCAAAAACTAGAAGAGAGGATTTCAAAGGTTTCACCACAAAGAAACGAAGCCAGTTTTTGATGGAGAGCAGAACTGAGTCAGTTGGAGACACTGGGTTTGGGGGATTGACGTCCACTGAGCTGCTGCATCAAGCCGCGCCTGAGACCAGCCGGGGAGGGGAGTGCGTGTGTGTTCATGTGCATGTGTGATCTTGCTAATTCTTGGGCAGGAAATGGGGGCCAGGGACCCTGTGGTGTCACTTCTAGTCACCGGAAGGGGGACTGCCCTTGGTCCCTGATTTCCCAGCCACTCATTCAAGGTGGGTGCGCCCTCCCCTCCCAGGACAAAGGGCATTAGTGGAGCCCACACAGGCCTCATCCACATGCAGGCTGGAGCTTGGCAGGGGAAGGGGAGGGCAGGTGTGTGTGTGTGTGTGTGTGTGTGTGTGTCTACTGAGCTTGTGTCTTTGGGGGAGGGAGGAGAGGGAATGAGAGGGCCTTGGGGTGTCTCAGGATGCTGCCAACCCAGAACGCTGAAGGAGGATGTCCAGGGTTGAGGAGTCAAAGGTGGAGACTGAGCGGCTCACCCACCCCAAGGAACTCAGACCACTAATCCTCTACAGGCAGGCTGTGACACATGCCAGATCAAACTGAACCTGACATCCACCTGCTGGATCTGTTAACAGACACTACTAGCTGCCATCAGGCCCTAGGGTATGGCTAGGGCTGTGGGTCTTGCCACCCGTTAGGACTCCTGACTTCCTGCAGAAGCACACTGCAATGGCGGAGAAACAGACTTGAAGTGGAACTGAGTCGTTCTGGATTGCCTCTGCTCTCAGGCTGCCTCAGTTTCTACCTCCACAGAACAGAGATAATAATACCTGCCCCAAAGGGCTGTTGGACAGATTAAAGGGAAAATCCACTCCAAGTGTTAAATGACACCTAGTAAGTGCTCAATAAATGTGCGCCATGTCTCTCTAGTCTTTGTTTCCCAGATGACTCCCTTGGCCTTTGGAACACAGAAAACGCCAGGTTTGCACCAGCCAGGTCCCTGAGTGTCTTTCCAAGCGCCTGGGGAAGCCCAGTGGAGAGGAAGGAGGGTAAGGACTAGGGCCCAGGGGAAGTCTATAGGTGGAGGGCGGGAACAGGGCCCTTGGCTTGGAGTTCGGGAAGTATTTTGGAGAAATTCTCTGCAGGCCTGGATCTAGGCTGGGGAACCTGCCGGCTCTGCTGGGAGGAGAAGAAAGACAGGGCTGGCAGCTTCAAGGCCAGTCTTAAGGGTGGGGGGCCTCCGGGCAGCCGCAGGGCGTTTCTTTAGGGTGGCCGCTTTCCCGCAGCGGCCCAGGATGCAGGTGACCCTGTGCGGGCACCGGCTGGTGTCCCCTCTCCTCCTCAGCACCTCGGTCTGCAGGCGGGGCTGCCATCCCGCCGACCTTGCTGGCGCCCCCGCCCCCAGCTCCGCGTGCCCTTCAGGTGGAGGCTGGCTTCAGCGGGCAGTCGGCCAGACCCCGGGCAGCCGCCGCGCGCACCCAGCGTCCAGGGCGGGGAGGGCAGAGGCGGGCCACCCTGGCCCCCCAAGGCCCCCGACTCGACTCTGCCCCGCGGGCCTGAGTGCTGTCTGCGCAGGGTGGCCCCACCGCCAGGGGTCCACGTCGCAAGCCAGGGTCCACATCCGCTCCCGCCCGTCGCCAGCCCTAACTCTAAGGCCCCCACCCGTGTGACGGCGCCGTATCTCCATCCCTGGCTTTGGGCACACTGATCCCCCAGTTGGCGCCAGTCGCTGCGGAGCGCGGAGCCGTCCAGCTCCACGGAGGACCACAGGGGCTCTTTCCAGCTGCCCTTTCCCGCTGCCCTCGGAGGACCAGCCGCGAGGCTCACGGCGGCAGGGCCAGGCCTGCTTCCTGCTCGCAGGGACCTGGGCCTCGCCAGCTCCTGGGGTTCGCTCTCGGGTTTTCCCTGGGTACCGCCAGGGCAGCACCTAGTCCGCGCTCTCTTTTCCTCCAAAACAATAAACCTGCTTTGGAGGAACAGATTCTCTCCCCTGCTTGGGGGTGGTGCGTCCCCGGTTCGGGTCTGGGGCCCCAGCACGGTCCCCAGCTAACAGGCCAAGCTAGACTGGAGGAAGAGCGGTCTGGCCTTCGGGCTTGGTCACCTCCCACTGCACCCTCGGGTGTCTTTCAGGGCCAGTTCTGGAGGGACGTGGCTCCTCTGCTAGGGTTCCACGGGGCTGGCAGCAGTGGCCTAGTCCTGGCCTGTTGGCAGTTGCTGCCCAGGGGTGACCTTCGATGATCCGGAGTGTTCTGCTCACCCGTGCATTCTGCAGGAGGCATTTCCTCTACTAGAAGGGTGGAGTGACTACCACAGTGGCATTGGGGAACAGGTTTGATGTAGTGCTGGGACAGTGGGAGAGACCTCACTGAGAAGACAACGCTGTTGGGTTGCTGGGAAGGGCACCAAAGCCACCAGGGTTGGAGCGCGTGAGGAGGCGCCAGAACTCTGGGGGGAGTTCAGGCTTTGCAGGCAGCTGGAGGCACCCAGGGCCCTGGCAGTGGGAGCCCAAGGACGTGAGGATGCTGGTAGGTGGGCAGAGGGTCCACTCTGGTCCCATAGGACCAGATGTTCTCTAACAACGTTATGAAAGAAGAAAAAACATATTAATCAGCCATTATGAGAGTTCTTTTGATGTTTCTAGTTTTCAGTCCAGGTGTATGTCTGTTCCACACAACCAAAAAATAAAGAAAATCCAGAGTTAAAAGATGTAGTAGGGGTGGTATTCATATTTTCTCTTTACAAGAGGACTCATTAGAGCTTCCTTAGAGACATGTAAGAAATTCAGAGGTGCACACTTCGTATAGAAGTTACTAGGGAAACTGAAACAATATAGAGTGAGTTTCTTTCATTTCTTTATGATACTGAGGGGACATTTAGCTAACTCAGAAGACATCTGCAGAAAAAGAAGATGGGAACTAGAAGAGGGAATCCTGAAATCCAAGACTATTAGTTTGGTGTTATTATCTGTTAGTACCAGAAAAGCTTGATATCCACACCAGGATTCTGCTTGATTATAATGGGCTGCACATCCTACACATGCCTAATCCCATCATCACTTGAAAAAATATCATAAACCAAAATAGTGTTTAATATACCCAGGGAGTTTTATAGCTTAGGCTAGCCTTTCTTAAACATGCTTGGAAAACTCATATTAACCTACAGGTGGGCATATTGACAGAGTATCCTAACTGCAGTATTGCTCAATCAACACAACTTGAAGCTTGGTTTCTACTGAATGTGGATTGCTTTTTGCACCATCATAAAAAAAAAAAAAAAAAATCCTAAATTGAACCATTTTAAGATGGGAATGGCGTGTGATTAAGTCTGGTCTTAAATTTGGAAATGTAGAGAATAAAAATGGCCATCATAATAGGTAAGCCTGCAGCAAAGCAAAGTTCATATTGACAAGCATAATCAGAAAAAATAATACTATAAATTTTATTTTCCAAAATTTTTAAAACAAGGGAAGCTTTAAAAAATGTCATATGGAATTGCAATGTAAAAACCAAAACTGCAATTTATGTTGTAATTCCAAATATATAAATGAAATTGATAGAAAGTCAATCTCACATATTTAAAATCTGGTATGGAACATTGAGTGAGTTGCTTTTGGCTATATCTTTATCTTTCCCCCCATTTTTAAGTTGCAAAATATATATAACACAATTTACCATCTTATCCATTTTTAAGCACACTGTACCATTAATGGTATTAAATACAATCAGATTATTGTGCAACCATCACCACTATTTATTTCTAGGACTTGAAAACTGAAACTCCACACCCATCTGCACCCTCCCTCCATTTCCTGGCAACCCCCGGTCTGCGTTCTCTCTGCTAACTCATGTAAGTGGGATCATATGATATTTGTTCTTCTGTGTCTTATTTCATTTAGCCTAAGGTCCTCAAGGTTCATCTGTGTCATAGCATGCGTCAGAATTTCCTTCTTTTTGAAAGCTGGATCATGTAACACACACATGCTTTATTTTGCACATCTGTTCACCCATCTATGGACACTTGGGTTGCTCCCCTGTTTTGGTTGCTGTGAATCATGCTGTCTTGAACATGTGTACACAGCTGTGTGTGGACATCTCTATAGGAACGATGACTCTGGGCTTTCAAACAAAGTAGAGAGTAGGCTCCATCATGAACTTGGCCCCGTGTCACTGGATTTCCACAGGGTTGGAGGTGGCATGGGTGGGGTCGTGTGGAAGGAGGTAGGGTCGGGGAGCTGCTGAAGTGCCTCTCTGGAGATGGTGATTCTCAGGTGAACAGAAGGCCAGCAGGTGAGCCCTGCTCAGGAACAAACATCAGGCTGAGCACCGGCATGTCAGAGTGACTGTGAAAGCTGAAAGCCACAAGGGCGCCAGTGCCCAGCTCTAGACCCCTGCAGCAGTCTTCTGAGGGGGGACCTGGTGTCTGTGCACTGTCGAGCCTCTGCAGGTGCTTCTGACTTGACAGCCGAGGGCTGGGGACAGCACAGCCTGGGACCATGGAAGGAAAAGTCAATGTGCCTCTTTCCTCCTCTGGGAAGGTAAATGTCAAGAGGGGCTGTTTTGATTTGTGAAACTCTGTGAATCCATAGGAGGCAAGACAGCCTTCGTGTTGCCCTTGAACAAGGGAGAAGTGAGATGTTCTTCCCACCAGTCATGAACAGGCCCTGTGCACTGGGCAGTCACCCAGTGGGAAGTGGCTTATGAACCGTCCTGTCAGAATTCCCAAGAGCACCAGATGGAAGGAGCTTTGCAGAGCAGGTGGGAGGTGGACAAGGTCACTTTTGTGGTGATCACAGAGGTAGGCGAGGAGCTGGGACAGAGACCTGCACCTGCCCCCAGGGTTCTTTGAGGTTCTTTGTGCACCTCGTAGGACCTGCGGGTTCAGTGACACTGCTGCAGAGTCCCACACATCCATTTTTAACTGGATTTGTGACATCCTAACTGATGGAGCTCGTTTGCTTGTATATTAAAAATGACTTTGAAGGCAGGCTGTGATCTCCATTCTTTGGGATTTTATAGACCAGTAAATGTCAAATAAAACTTTTGGGATTGACATATGGTTACCAGCTTTTATATGAAGTAAGGACAATAAAAATTCTAAAAACTATGCTCTCCTATCACCATTTCATAAGGAGGGTTGTTTTAACATCAGAAGGAAGGATACCTTGAGTCTGGAAACTCCACCCCTGAATTTGGAAGAACAACTCTGTATTGCTTGTGGCTTCCTCCTTCTCTCTAGACACAAGGAAAGTGTATCGCCAACTTGTCTCTGAGGACTGAGGCTCCTCTGCCTTGAATATTTTAGGACAGCTGTACCAATTGCAGATGTTATCAATTTCCTTGAAGAAGTGGTCTCAGGGATTTTAAGGGAACACCGAGGAATTCAAAGGCTGAAGTGTCTGTACCCTGCCTCAGTTTCCACTGTTCAGAGCTGTGTGGTAAATGCTGGCTGCCAGAAACCGTCATTGCTTTCAAAAGAAGTAAAAAAGACAGACTGTGGCAAACAGAACCATGGAAACTTGGAGTTGGAAGGTTCCTTAGCCATGATCTCATCCATCCCTGTGGTTTTCACACTAGCCTCCTGCTCCTCAGAGCCCAGCAGTGCTGCTGGCCCTGCAGACCTGACTTGAATTGTTTTAATCACAGAGCTTCTGATAAAGTTCATTTGCTTAAAAAAAAAAAAAAGCTGAATACCAACAATTTAATCCATCTCTAATTTAGTGGAAAGATGAAGATTGAAAGCAGCACATTTTCCTGAGGCCACCCATTCAGCTGGTGACACACACCGTGGGTAGGGCTGGAGGACTCCTGCGGTTGAGCCTTCGGTCTTAAGCGTCCCCACAAAGGTCCCCGTGGCAAAGGCTTGCTCCCCAAGGTGCTGCTGAGAAGTCGTGGGGTCTTTCGGAGGTGAGACTCAGTGGGAGGTCTTTAGGTCACTGGGAATGCACCCTTGAAGGGGACTGTGGGCCCCAATCCCCTCCTCTTTTTTCCCCTTTCTGGTCGTGAGGTGTCTGCCTGCTCCGCCATGTTGAGGGCAATATTTTGCTCCAGGGCACACCTGGCCATTCAGTGCCTTGAGAAAAGATTCTGCTTTTCTTTTTTTTTTTTTTTTCTCCACTTCTGAGCAACAGCTCCCCATCCCTGGTACTCCCAAGGCCCTTTTCCTAACAGTGATGTCTGAGTACAACCTGGTTCACTCTGCTTTCTGGATGGACACTGCCTCCTAATGCAGCTGGCAAGTATAACGGAGTCCCTGCCTCCCCCAGGCCCCTGCCTGCCCCGGGCCCGGGCCTGATGCTGGGGCTCTGCACACATGATTCTTTATAGACAGGACCTCTTTGCTTTTACCAGTAGTTGTGCCTGACCTCTGGGGCTCAAGCTCCCAGCTCAGAACACAGTGGCGGAAGGAATGTTCCTAAACAAGTAAATTCAACAAGGAGCCCTTTTCAGGTTGGGTATAAGCCATTTAAATTCAATTCCACAAAATGGCCCAGCTTCAAATAAAATCACATATTTATTCATTTCTTCCTTCTTAAATAAATAAAAGCACTATGCAAAACTTTATTTATATTAATTAAATCCTAATAGTTTTATAAAAAGTTGAGTGTTGGTACCTAGCAATCCTATTATTACTCTAGCATCCTATCTCATATAACCATCCAACATTTACCTTTGATTTCAAGCATTTTTAAAATTAGCATTTTAACACAATACTATACATTTAGTACTAATTTCATCTGAAACAATCATTAAATAATTATTAAATAATAGTACATGATACCAAGGGAAAAGGAAAGCACTTAACGATTTTCCAGATGCTTGTAAGAAAGAAACACATCAGGGTAGCCCTCCTGATGTGGGGGCATGATTTGACCTACGACTAAAAGGCACTTTGGAGAGTGAATTGGTTTTTCAAACTGAAAGGATATTTGTGTTGATTGATATTCTTGAAAGATTCAAACCCTGAATCTTTCATGTTAGGAAATGAATGTACACCAGGGAAAGTGACTTATCTAAAGTTACAGAAGGTCTTCTGATAACAAATCTAGAATCTTTTTCATTTCATAATGTTTATACTATAATATAATCATATTTTTTGAAAGATCAAGCCAGATATGAGCTGGGAACAGTGGTGCATGCTTGTAATCCCTGCAACTTGGAAGGCTAAGGCAGGAGGACTGAAAATTTGAGGCCAAACTCAGCAATTCAGCAAGATCCTGTCTCAAAACAAACAAACAAACAGAACTGGGGACATGGCTTGGTGGTGGAGAGGCCCTGTGTTCAGTCCCCAGTGCCCAAATCAAAACTAAAGCCAAAAGATCAAGTCACATATCAAGGAAAGCAAATCACGACATCTAAAACTAACAGACCCTAAAATAAGAATTTAATAAAAATATAAGCCGACCACTGTGTTGGGACAGTATCATCAGTGTGGACACAGTGCTGATGACACTGACGGCGGCAGCTCACTGGTGTACTGATTCATTCACACACTTGTGTGTCACTCTCTGTGTGTGTTGGCTGTGTTCTCCTCTGTATCACTGGAGTTCAATGTTTTCCACAGAAACTTCTCATTGGGTTTCCAGAGGGAAGTTTCCTGTCCTTCCTTCCTTTTGCAGTGTACGGCAAGGGGTACTTTTGCACACAGGGTCTCTATAACTGCTACGTCGGTGAGTTTACTGAGACTGTCCTCATTCTGCTCATTCAAGATGTCCCAGAAGTCTTTTGGTCTCTGTTTTGCTTTTTCCATGGGTCTTGAAAGAACCTTCTTTGGCAGTCGTGTGGGATCGTTCCCGTGACTTTTAAAGAGGTCATCGAGAATAGAGGTGTCACCAAGCAAGCCTTCCACAGAAGCATTTCCAAACTCTGGATTTTCTACCTTTTTGTCTTCTGACTTGCAAAGGGGTCTGTTTCTTGAGGTGCCCGTCCCTGTGAGGTCCTTTGGGACTTGCTTGGTATTTTCCAGCTGCCTCTCCTGTGCCTCTGACTTGCCCTTGGGAGAGCGGGAGGCCGCCGGGTCTCTGGAGGCTCGCCCATCGTCCCCACTGTCAATCTCGTGAGCAGAGCTAATTGGTGATTTTGCAGTTTCTGCATCACTGGAAAGTGCCTCTTCCTGACATGCACTGTCACTCTGAAACTTAACTGATTTTCCTTTAGATGCTTTTGGACTGCAAATTTGAGAAATTTGGTTGGTACAATCTCTAAAGGACAAACTTTTAGAATGTGATGGTTTTCTTTTTATAAAAGAGTTTCTTTCTTTATATTTATTTCTGGTACTCTCTCCTTCCTTGTGGGCAGATTTGATGAATTCTGAAGCAGAATCCACAAAAAATTCTTTCACCTCCGGATGCTGAGAAGCATAAAAGTCTCTTAGCATTCTCTGTCGTTCTTCTGAAGTGGTGTTAGTTATATGTATAGCGAATTCCTTTACAGAAGACAGGTTAAAGAAAGAAGCCATTTCTTCAAATTGTTTTCTAAAGATTGAATGAAGAAAATCAGTGGTTATTTTCATTATATTTTATTTTTAGAAAAATCATCATCAATGATAGGAAATGTAGAGGCAAAGTTATGTAATTTTGTTCTGTTAGTTTATGTCTGCTTAATTCCACACAAGAATGCATTTTATCGTGGCCTCTTTCCTTATGCTACTAGGAAAATTATGTTAGCCCATGAAATCACCAGCTTTCTTAAGTTATTCTGATTTATGCTATCAGGTATTTTCTGGGAATTATGGGATTCCAGCTGGCTACTCCTCCAGTGAGCCAATTTATGACTGACATGAGAATCATAATGCATATTTGAAAATCTATATTGTATTAAAATCCATGAAATAATATTGTCAAAGGGTTTCAGTGAACAGAAAGAAAATTCTGAAGAATTAAGAAAAAAATATTTTTTCTTTCTCTCTCCTTTACCCTTTTTCTACAAATACAGCATAGAAATTTTATAAGATTTTTTTGATGAGTCTAAAAGGAAAGTTGTAAACTGTTAAGCCTTGATTCTTTTTTTCTCAATTGGTCCACTTTTAGTATAGATAGCCTTAGAGGTGAGATATTATTTGAAGAAGTTGCAGTTTTAGTATAGGATATTAATAATAAACACTGTTACATGAATGGATGAGGAGGCGGGCCTTCTGGAACCCTGGTGAGATGGAGGCAGAGGAATGACATGGCCACCTGGGCCACAGACTACTCCTCTCCATTGGTGAGCATGCTATGAACTGAGTTGTTCCCCCCAAATTATGCTGGAGCCCCAACACTCCATCTGGCAGTAGTTAGGGTCAGGGCCTCTAGGGGATCAGTGGTCATGAGGTTGTAAGGGTGGGGCTCCAATCTGGCAGCATTAGTGTCCTCATGAGAAGAGAGGCCACAGAGCTGGCCCAGGGCCTTCTTACAGCTTTCACTGCCCTTAAAGTAATGGGATGTTATTGTTCTGTTTGTTCATAGTTTCCGCTCCACCCCTCCCTCCTGCCACACGAGAACACAGTGAGAAGGAGGCCATCTGCAAAGTAGAAAGAAGACCCTCATCAAAGACTGAATTGGCTAATGCCCTGATCTTGGATTTCCTGAGTCTGGAACTCTGAGGATTAATCTCTGTTGTTACGTTATCCATTATGGTAGCTCAAGAAGAAGACAGAGGGTACTGATTGCTGATATTGAATTTATGTTTGTAAATACTTCTTTAAAAAAAGCCAAAGATAGTGTTGTAGCACAATAATTAAAATCCCAAAGTTTTAGGATTTTTACTTGTATTTTATACAGTAGCTCTTTTAAAAACCCATTTATTCATTCCACACATATTTATAGAGCCCTATTATATGCTAAGTACCACACACCAGTGAACAAAACTCCTTAAGGAGTTTATAGTCTTAACTGGGGAGGACAAATGCAGGAAAGTCAAACTACAAGAGGGCAGAGATACCAAGTACAGAGCCCAATTGGCACCCACAGCAGGGGCACCCACGCCAGGGATTACTGGTGGGCAAGCTGGGGGTGGGGTTCCCTGCTGTCATCTCAGGTCAGGTGAAGATGAGTGAGGAAGCTTGCCGGGAAGAGGGACACACACAGGTTCACTTCCAAGGGGACAAGGTGCATGGAGGGACAGGAGAAACTGCAAAGGGACAGCTGACAATCATAAAGGGTCAACAGCCAAGGTGAGAAGACTGAATTTATGTGATGCAAACAGAGAGTTCTTAGGATAAAAGAATGATTTCTTTTTAGTGTACATAAGTAAGTAGGAGCTTTAATGTCATGTTACTATTATTTTTTTACCAGCCATTCTGGGCTACATAAAGTGTGTGTTTCCTTGGGCTTTAGTGGCACTCCATAGTGGGTGCTTGCTTCTTCCTTTTGTGACTTCAGATGAGCACTGTGGCTTCTAGTACTCACTAGAGTGTCTTATTAAATGTTCCAAATCCAGACACACACACACCTGACCACCAGCGACTCTCATCTCAGACACAATACTAACTCACCCACATGTGCGTGCTCCCACACCTTTTTCTTAGAAATTGCCAATGTTCTTTTTGGAAAGCGAGCATGTTCTTAAAAGGTTCCAGTTTTTAGTTCAAATGAGGTAATATGATATTATTTTGTTTATTAATCATCTCCAAATCCATTTTTGTGACCTTTCTAACAAATATTTGTGCTTGCAAAGAGTTAGCGATTGGCAGGGTTGCGAGCTGATGTCTTTTATTTACCCAAGACTTGGTAGTGTCTTGGCAGCTGCCAAAGAAACTTCACCTCTGCTGGGCTGAAACCATGACCTCACCCGTGACCCTGTGGTCTGTCACCTCTGGGAGGACAGCTGTTTCAAACCCTGTTTAGCTTGAGTAGTCTGCAAGAAAAGTATGCCACATGGTTGCCCCTAACAGGAAAAGTAATGATTATCATTCATTTTATTTTTGCCTTTTAACTTGATTTCCTAATTCTGGGTCTTCAAAAGAATTTTCTCCAAGAATTTAAGGTAGTACAACCAGGGGCAAAAGCTAGTCACTTTGCAAGCAAAAATCACTAAGCCTGAGTAAACTACCATAAACCACTTGGGGAAAGAGGAAAAAGGGAAACCAAAGATAGGTATCATTCAGCAAGGGCATGAAGAGTAGTTCTGTATCATGGAGAAAACTCCACAACCTCTCCCCTTTCCCTGAGGAGGCAGGGAGCAGCACAACTGGAGTCACCTTGTCTCTGCCTAGGCTTTCTGAAGGAACGGCAAGCTGAACCGCACTCAGATGATCATGTGGTTGCAGAGGCTCAGAGCCTTAATGACTGACCAGGATGACTGGTGGGGACCAGGGGAATCAGACCCTGGCACTCTAATATTAGACAATCCTCACCCCTATACTTAGCAAGAGGCATCAGGTACAGTTGCACATGCCTGTAATCCTAGTGGCTCGGGAAGCTGAGGCAGGAGGATTACAAGTTTAAGGTCAGCCTCAGCAACTTAGCAAGGCCATGCCCCAAAATAAAAAAATAAAAACAGCTGGGGATGTAGCTCAGTGGGAAAGTGCCCCTGGAGTCAATCTTCTATCTATCTATCTATCTATCTATCTATCTATCTATCTATCTGAAAGAAGAAAAAAGGAGGCAAAACTAATTGTTACACTTTTATAAAAAATACACACTGCCCAAGGGAATAAAGGCACCTGTATTCCTTAAAGACTGATGAGATGTCCATGGGTAGCCTCAGAAACATAATTGCCCAGAGTGAAAGACCCTGCAAAAGTCCTGGGAACCAATGTTTGTGCAGGCAGGGACATGTTTGCCCGTCTGCACAACAGCAGGCAGCTCTCGAGAGCCACCACCCCAGCTTCCCAAGGAGCTGAGGGACCAGTCTTTCCAGGGCAGCTGAAGACCAGTTCCCTGGGAGGTGCAAGCCCCCAACCCTCGCCGGGGAAGCATTTTGAACCCACAGAGCCAGCATCATTTTCCCACTGTCCCAGGGCCACCAGGGCCAGCCCCGTAAGCCTCCTTTGGCCTTTGCTTCCTGCTGAACACTCCAGATCCTGGATTGATGCAGCTTCCTGCTCCACCCTCTGTTATCAGTATCCATAACATCAGTGTCCACGTGGCCTTGCCACCCAAAACCCGGCCCACCCATTTCGTCACTGACCTCCAAAGACTCATCTCAGTTCATACCTCCAAAGACTCATCTCAGTTCATGTCAGCTTGCTTCCAGGGTCCTATCTGCCACTGTCATCACCAGCAGCTGCACAACCTACAGGGCTTGGAACGCAATCGTCTTATGCTCCCGCTCAGCTGCTCCCCAGCCCAGGACAGCAGTGAGAACTCCTGGCCTCACTGAGCCCTCCAGACCACCGCTCACTCACTCCCACTGGCTCACTCTCCTCCTCTGTTCAGCTTAGATTCATTTTGTAATCATTCTTTTACAAACAGCCTTCAGCTTTCTTAACTTTCCCCCCTTACTCTAGCCCCTGGTAAGACCTGGCCATCTCTCTGTTCTGTGCCTGCAACAGAGCAACTGGAGCTCGTTGGACAAAATCTGCAGGAATGGATGGATGGTTGTACAAACTCACTCTCAAATGGGGACTCACATCGCCCAGGAATTCCAGTCCAGCTAAGCTTGATTTCCTGTTCTGTAATTTATCTGATAACTTTGTTCCCTCTGAATATGGCTTTAATTGCAGATTCACTGAGAAAATCCATCATGTCTGTGTCCATGATGGTCCCTTCTTTTTCAGTGCCTCTCCAAGGCCAGCTGTGGCCACTGGTCTGGACACTGCCTCTCCAGGGTGTCATTGCTGACCTCACCTCTCTGCAAGGTCCATTTCCCATGAGTCTTCTCCCTCAACACACCCTACGTAGTTCAATTATCTTCCAACTTCAAAACACCTCACCCTGGTCCCCATGGTACCCTCCGGCTACTGCGTCTTTCCATATCCAAACACAAAGAGCTGTCCAGGGCCTGCCGGCTCCCTGCTAGCACCCCTCACCCTGGCATCCACCCACGGATTCTCTCGGACTGCCCGTGCCAAGTGGCAAAGAGCTCTGTTGGCAGCTACCGAGGGCACTTTCTGCTCCACCCCAGGCTGCAGCGTAAGATGAAGTGAACGCTCCCTACTTCAAACCTCCGGGGCCTCAGGCCCTGCACTGCCTCTGCCCCAGCCCACACTGCTGCTGTTGCTCCAGGAGGATGGGCCGCTCCACGCTGTTGGGGCTTCCCCTCCTTCCCATCTCTGCTCCCCGGCTGCTCGCACAGTGCTGTGGGGCCAAAACCATTTACAATCTATATGCTCCTGATGCCCAGATTTACAACTCAAACCCCCAACCCCAGAGTGGCATATTCACTGCCTGTGTGACATTTCCATAGAATATCAAACTTCACATGAGTGAAAAAGAACTGATTTTTTGTTTTTCACTCCAAACTCTCTCCCAGTTTTTCTCACTCAGAAAATCTACTCTGTGGCTTAAGACAGGAAGTTAGGGGCAATCCTGTTTTCTTTTCTCCCCAAGTCAGTCCATCACCAAAGGGAACTATCCATTTGGCTCTACTGCCATGGCAACCACTTTGGTGCATTCATTAGTGTGGCTCCTTATCGTCCCCATCCCTCCCACTGTCTCCCCACATCCACTTCCCCCTCCCACACCGAAGCAGAAGCCACCCTTTAAACACATGGAGCAGGCCCCACTCTTCTTCCACAAGTCTCCAATGCATCGCAACAAAGTCCGAGTCCTTCCCACAGGCTCCAGCCCCGCCTGTCTCATCCTCATCTCATGGGCTGTTGGCTTTATTTTTCGGGAGTCTGACACTGTCCCTGAACACCCAGCTGCTCTCAGGGATACTCCTAATCAGGTTCTGGGCCTGGTCATCTGTCAGGTTTCAGTGCAAACACCACCTGTATGGAGAGGTATTCCTGACTGCTCACTACAGAGCAGCGTCCACCCTGCCATGCAGCTCAGTTCCCCGGTCAAGGCAGTCCGTTTCTTTCCTATAACACCACTTTATAATGACTCACGTATGTGCTTTTTTACTTTTTAAAACCTTAAGGTTCAACGTCAGCTCCTTTCCTACCACATTGTGAGCTCTATGCCTGTCTTTCCCTCTGTATGTTCAGCACATAGCACAATGCCTGGTCATGTATTAGGTGCCCAATAAATAGATGATGAATGAATGAAAAAGTGTACTTAAGAGCTCATTTTTTTATATACAATGATTTCATTTTTAAAAAACCAATTTAGGGATTAGCCCTTTAAAAACATCTAAAATATTTGAAGTTTATTTTTTAAAGTATGCAAATTCAGATTTTTCTGAAACATTTATGTCAAGTATGGTTATAATTTAATTTGTATATTTTATTAAGGATCCATATTTCTTTTGATAATTGTTGCTAAAGTTCCATGTTATCACATGTGACATACCTGCGGATTCCTTTTGGTGTTTCTCCGATTATGAAGGTCGTCTGGTCTGTACGGTAGACTTTTTTCTTCTTCTGACTTACAGGGTGTGAAACGCACAGGGGAGAGGAAACGGGTCCTTCACTCGGTGGCTGGTCTGTCCTCGTGTGTGTCACTGTAGCTGGGTTCGCTTTTTCTTCATATGTCTGGAAAAAGGGAAGGAACGAAAGGTTGGTTTTGGTCAAAGAAGGAAGATGTATTACTTTCCCCCAATATGCTCTTTTTAATGAAGTACACATTCTCCATCTGAAATTATTGTCAGAAGATGTCAATCTAGACCTTTAAAAAGATGAAATGAGGAAAATAGGAACTATTTCTATTGTTGATACTGGACATACTGATACACATGTTGAGAGCTACTGTCCCAAATAAAGGTACCAATTAATGACTATATAAATGATGGAATAAAAATGGGTACTCTTAAAATCTTTAAGTTCAGTACATTTGAGTGGTGATTTTTCTCAAAATTATTGAGTAGTCTTTGTTACTTAATTTTACAAAGTAGCCAAACTTATAAAAAGGAACAATTTCATGTGACGAATAAATCATTTTCATCAATCCTAGTTTTCAAACTCTGCTGGATTGCAAGAATATCTAGTGATTTCAAGAGGTTACTACAGTTTGTAAACTATAGATAGAATCAAACATTTTAGACTATGGGCTGCTTGTTAAATGTAAATTGTTAGCAAGAGTAGGTTAAAAAATAATTTTAAACAGTATGGTTCCAGTTTCCTTGACAATTGTGAATAGGTGGAAAGCCCCGTTCCATTCCCCAAAGAGAAATACTGGAAACAGTTCCACAACAATTACAAAAATAAAATTATATTTGAGCTCAAAAATAAGAAAGTTTCTAGGTGTGAACAACAAAGAAGTGACACAGTGGTGAGTGAGAGCTGACACTAAGCAAGTCACAGGGCAGAACCTCATCCACAGGTACAAAGGGCAGAGGGAAGATGGAAATGATTCAACTCCCTGCATTAAAAATTGAATAAACAAACAAAAAACACAGGAGGTATGAGAATATCTGATTTTCAAAGGAAAGCCTAAACTAGGACACAGGATAGACACAAGCCACCTTTTTCCTCTAGACAGTTATTGCAGAAAAAAATGAAATGCCCAGCTGATGCCATTGTGGAGTCTGATTTTGCACCACCTGGGTAGTATGGAAAACCCAATCTGAAAACCAACATAAAAAAGTTTGGCTAAGAACCAGGGAAAACTACAGATCTAAATGAGGGGTGACTACAAAAACATACCATAGAAAGACTTCCATAATCCAAAGAATGGTTATGATTCCAATGGGGGTAAAAAGAGTTAGGATAAAAATTATAAAGAACATATGAAACCTGACACCATGAACACTGTCAGATGCAACAAAGATGAGAGCTCATACCTGAGGAATTGTAAATAAAGCAATGTGAATGAGACTTTAAATTTTCACCAGGTCTAGAAAGATAAAAGAAGGAATAGAATCCACTAGCAAGAATGAGGCATTGTATAGATAGATTTGGGAAAGAACTAAATGTAAACTTAAAAAAAAGAGAGAGAGAAAGAAATATAGTTCTGAAATAAAAAATAGAAAGAGACTCAATACATTGGATAAGTAGTAGAATAAATATCCTTATAATAATTGCCTAACTGGAAAAATAAAATTACTCAGAATGCAATATAGGAATTTAAAAGGAAGAAAAGG